CAATTGTAACCAGTTGCGGGTTGGTCAGCTACATGTCAAGTCGCTGAAACTTACTCCATCTAATAATAATCGGCGTCCTTTGTCGCTCTATTCCATGGACTCTGATGGATTCAATCGTGAACTTGTACTCCCAGATTTTGATTATGACGACGACGATGTCACCTACAAATGCGAGGCTCGTATCTTGGGTTCTTGTAATGGCTTACTGCTCCTATCACATGTAAGTTATAAATATCCTAATTGGAACCTACTTTTATGGAACCCATCAACCGGTAAGTGCAAGAGGATTCCTGGTGTTAATGTCCCGGATGGGCCATATACTTGCATTATTTCCGGACTTGTTTATGTTTCTAGTTCTAGAAACTACAAAGCAATAGTAGTTTATCATCAAATCAGTCCATGTGCGTCGCCGAATGGTGGGTTTGGCAATTACGAAGCCTTAGATTGCAATATTTATGACTACAATCTAAATTCTTGGACAAAGAAGGATTATGATGCGTTTCCTTATCGGTTACATAGTGATAGTTCAGCCATTATGGTTAATGGAGTGCCGCATTGGGGTGTCTATGTCTATCCTCGTCGTGTGGACCGCAGCAAGCCTCTTGTGATGCGTTATTTGATGGTTTACTTTAATTCGGAAACTGAAAAATTTAAAGAGGTAGAGTTACCTGAGTGGAAAGCTGATGAAGAAACATTCAATATAGGGGTTTTAGGAGGATGTTTATGCATGTGCCTCGATTCCCAAAAAGGGTCAAGGAATATTGAAGTATGGACAATGAAGGAGTATGGAATTGTAGAATCTTGGACTAAATCATTTGTTATTTCATCTCCCTCTATTCAAAGCCTGACACCATTATGTTTGATGGGGAAGAACCAAGTTCTAATGAAGGTGGAAATGAAAAAATTGGAAGAACAGTTGGTAATTTTCAACCTTAAAGAAAAGAAAAAGAAAATTTTGTTAGTAGATAGGATTCATAAGAGTTTGATGTGCAGGGTTTGTACATATGTGGGGAGTCTAGTTTTTCCAGACGAAGCTCCAGAAGGAATTAGTCTAGCAAGTTGAAAGCTAGCAAAGCAAAACAATGCCAGAATGGAGCTTTGAAAAATCCCATTTTTTCTAATTTGAGTGGGAACCGTTTCTACTAAAGCCAAAGAGCATCTCAAGCTTCCCTTTTCACTCTTTTAATCAGGCAATTATCAACGTGTCACCTACATGGAATTTGGATGCTTTCTTTGTTTGGAGCTTTGCAGAGAAAGGCCATAATCTTTTTGTCGGAAAAGAAACATTATTTAGACTTTTTTTCTTTTGGATAGAAAGGAAGAGAAAGTAGATCTAGAGTGGAGGGAACTTGTAGAAAGGAGCAAGAGGAATCTTCTTCCAAGCTTCAAGATTTCTTCGCCAAATTTAAAGTTTTTACTTTTCTTTTTGCTGTTTATGTTAAATTTTAGCTTGCTTAATCGATTTCCTTATTATCATGTCTAGCTAAAACCCCAAGCTAAGGGTTAGAATGTTACCTAGTTTGGCCGGGGGGTGGGGGAACGAAATTGTTGATAATATGAATTGATATGAGCATGTACATCAGTACATGAGCATCGGGTTGCTTAGATTTATCATCCGAGAATAAACCTTTTAATTGATATATGGTTAGATATATTTGATATACGGTTAGATGAAGTGTACCATTAATTTTAGAGCAACTCATTGTACAATTAAACCATGGACAAGGTCTTTTGATTATGGTATGTTTGGTAATTTACTCTCACACTGAGGAAGTGTCATGTTAATGGAATTCCGTGTTGGTGTGCCTTTCAAGTAATCAACAAATTTTGAATAAAATGTGTGCTTGATAATTTATTATAAGGAGCTGAAAAATTCATGGAGCTTTTCACACAAAAAAAATATAAATAAAAATTCATGGAGCTGGTTGGCTTACCAGATTGGAAAACGTACAATGTCAGAAATTCAATTTGGGGGCTAAGTTTAGAAACATTGCTCTTATGGCAAAACCTCTTTGGAGAGCCAAGCAATCTCCCGAAGATCTTTGGGTCAGAGCTTTGGCTAGCAAGTGCTTGATGTGGTTAAGAAAAAGGCAAACTGCTCCGATCTTTGGAGTGGAATGCTAAAGGCGAGTTCTATGCTTAATGAACGGTCTAGGAAAGTCATTAGGTCTGGTATTAATATTTCCTTTTGGATGGACCACTGGCTCTCTAGTTGTCCTTTTAGATCTCTCATACATGGGCCTTTAAATAAACATGAAGATTTTATTAGGGTGAAAGATTGTCTCTCGGATGGTGGTCATTGGAACCTTAGTATGATCTCTAATTTCTCTTTCCCTGATGATATTTACAAACTTATTATTTCGACCCCTGTCTCCTTTGATGAGTCTGTGGAAGATTCTACTTGTTGGCACTTTTCCCCTAATGGGGATTTCAATTTGAATTCTGCTTATGAACTTGCCTTAAACCTTTTTTCTTCTTCAAATAACTTCTCTTTTTGGAACACACTTTGGAAAAACCCTTGTCACAATCGTGTCAAGCATTTTCTCTAGTTAGCTGCTCATAACAGATTATGCTCTAAATCCTTTCTCTATCATAGGAATATTAACTCTGACCTATATGTTGTGATTTGTGTCCTGATGAGGAAGAAAATTCTTTGTGCATTCTCAGGGACTTTTTTCTTATCTAATTTTGTTTGGAATATTTTCCCTTATCTTCCTGGAGACTTCTTTCTTGGCTCCAATATTGTTGATTGGAAAAAGGTCAATCTTACATCTTCTATCACTTATAAAAATGTTCCTTTGGACTTGTTGTTTTGCTTATACTTGCTGGGGTCTTTGGTCTGCCAGAAATAATAGTCTTTAATGGCATCTCCCATAATGCCAATGCCATACACAATCTTATTTGTTCTAAAGCTATTGAATTCTTTCACTTGGGTTTCTCTGGTCTAAGTTTAATGTTAGAACGTCCATGAATGTTGGTTGGGTTCCCCCAACCATGGCCATTTAAAATTAAACACTGATAGATCAAGCATTGGTAGGCCAGGTATTAGGAGCGGTCGTGAGCCATAAGAAATAAGTTAAAAACCCTTAGATTAATAAGACTAGCGATGAACTTGTCACATTAAACACAATGTCAATTTCAAAGGGTGAACTTGTCACATTAAACACAATGTCAATTTCAAAGGGTGAACTTGTCACATTAAACACAATGTCAATTTCAAAGGGTATTATTTTATGGCAAATTATACGATATACTGTCGGTGGAGTTTAGCAGACTACACAAGCGGGTTCTGAAGGGTGACATGTGTCCTTTAGGGACTAGATTGAAATATTTAAAACTTAAATAATTCAAAAAATGAACATGTGTCAACTCCACAACCCGCTTGTGGAGTTGACAAATGTTCACCTTTTAAATTTAAATTAAGTTTTTAAATATTTCAATCTAGTCCCTAGGGGACACATGTTATCCTTCGGGACCCGCTTGTGTAGTCTGCTAAACTCCACTGACGGTGTATTATATAATTTACCTTTTATTGGTTAAAAAAATCAAAGCTTATATGCTATAATGCTAAAATTACAAAATCATGCTTTTGAAAAGTGCTTTTTGAAATTGCAGCTTAAAAATATATATATTGTTTGGTATTACTGTTAGAAAATGTGGTAGAATGATAAAATGTATAAAATGGATATATTAGTTAAAAAGGAAAGAGAAAATAATCAGAAGATTTAAGTCATTTAATGTCTAAAAGCACTTTTGAAACGCAAAAACACCTAAGAATTAGCTTTTCAGGTTAGCTTGGCTTTTGCGATCAAAATGGGCTTTTTACACAGACTAAGATTTATTTGGCATTGCGTTTGAGGTGAAAAGTAGCTTTTTATCTTCAAACGCAATGTCAAACCAGGCCTAACTCCCATTTACTTCAAGAAAAGTCTCTACCATGGACCATGATCATTTGAGAACGGTGATAAATCCATTAAGATTTGGAGATGGTATTTTATAAAAAGAAGCAGATGAGGAGATCAAAGGTTCAAGATCTGCGCATTCAACCTAAATGATGACAGGAATTTTGATCTAATTTAATTTAATTAAATAATTTTCATTTCAATAAAAATTTTAGATTTAGATATTTGCAGTTGAAGCCCTCCTAAGTTTTTCATATTTATTCATTAATGAGGTGGCACTATTTGGTTGATCGACGGTGTATGGAATCTATACACTATCGGTGCATCAAATATTAACCCTTATTATATTGGTTAAAAAAAACTCAAAGCATATATACTATAATGGTAAAATTTCAAAATTAGATTCGGGTCAAATTGATATTTTTGAATAGTTTAAAGGGTTGAATGGATACTATGTAAACCGACTTTTATTTCCCCTTAGGTGTATTGAAATTTAAAATAATCAACGGGTGGTGGTATGGTTGAAAGTTTATAACTGTTTGGTGTAATGATTCTTTTTTGGTGTAATGGTATCATTATTTGGTGTAATGAAAAATCAAATAAAATATCAAGAATACCCTTTATCCAAAAGACTAACTTTTCCTGGATGCTTTGTTTTTGCTGTGCATGTAATCTTTTCTTCTTTTTTTTTGTTTTTTCACACATTCTTTTATTATTTTTTGTGACTTTCTTTTCTTTCCTTATTCATTTTTCCACGCCTCTCCTCTTTCTCGTTCACGACCTCATCTTCCTTCCTATGCCAAGCTTTTGTTGCCACTGCCCTCGTGCTCCGATTGCAAGCTGTTAGGCAGCTGCTAAGAAAAGCTGAGAAAGGGAAGAGAAATAGAATTGAGAGGAAACTAATTTCTTCTGTCCTTTTCTTCACAATATCGTTCAGTACATATACTATCCTTTTGGCATCAACCTAGGATCCTGAGCCAATGCTGGTGGAACCCAAAAACCTTAATAGACTCGACAATAGGAAATCATAACAGACTCAACAATATTCTCCAGCTAGCAACAGATAACTATAAAGGAAAATAGCAACATAAAATTATTTCATATGAGATAATCCTTCATCCATTTGGGCTTCTTCAACTGCCTCTTTTCTCGTGGGCTTGAACCTCCTTCATCAGCAGGTGGATTTGTATTACTGCACCCTTCTTCGATGACAACCTTGTCCTCAAGGTTGAAGTTTGGATGGTTGGTAGCAATGTCTTGTGCCCACTCCCAAGTGGCCTCAGAGGTGGGAAGTTGCTGCCACTTGACCAAATATTGAGTATGGAATTTGCCATGAAGTTTGGCCTGCCTAGACTTCAAAATCATCTCGGGTTCTAGTACCGGCTGTCCAGCTACACAATCTGTGGGAAGTGCCGCAGGTTCAGTTGGAATTTCCCCTTTAAAGGCCTTAAGTAATGATATGTGAAAAACCGGATGGACTCGAGACCCTTCAGGCAGCTGCAGTTTGTATGCTACAGAGCCTATTTTCTTGAGTATTTTATACGGTCCAAAATACCTCTTAGCTAGCTTCTGGTTAGACCTTTGCACCACTGATTGTTGCCGATAGGGTTGTAATTTAACAAGCACCCAATCCCCTTCTGCAAACTGTCTCTCTTGTCTTTTCCTATCGGCTTGCATCACCATACGGTTATGAGCTCTTGCGAGATTAGCCTTTAATTGCTTCAATAATTGTTGTCTCTCAATGAGGCTATTATCAAGCTGTGCATTAGTGGTAGTGCCAGCTACATAAGAGGGAATGGTGGGTGGAGGGTGACCATAAAGAGCCTGGAATGGAGTCATACTCGCAGCTGAATGGTAAGCGGTATTGTATGACCACTCTGCCCAATGGAGTATCTTGACCCAATTTTTAGGCTGCTCAGATGTGAAGGAACGCAGGTAAGTCTCTAGACATCTGTTTAGTACTTCTGACTGGCCATCAGTCTGCGGATGGTAGGCACTACTCATCCTTAGTTGAGTTCCTTGCAGCTTGTGCAGTTCCTGCCAAAAATTACTCATGAACAAGGGGTCTCGATCACAAACCACATTCTTAGGCATCCCATGCAGCTTTCCCACTTCTTGAGCGTAAACCGATGCTAAAGTTGGTGCAGTAACATTTCCTGGCAGTGCTACAAAGTGTGCATACTTTGAGAGTCGGTCAACAATAACCCAAATGGTGGACTTACCATGAGACAAGGGTAGATTTGTTATAAAATCCATGGCCAAGTCTCGCCATACTTGTGAAGGAATTGGTAATGGAGCAAGCAATCCTTGTGGTTTGCTAGTTAAATATTTTACTTCTTGGCAGACCTTGCAAGTGGAGACAAAGTCTTGAACAGCCTTGCGCATCCCTTTCCACCAAAAATTTGCGGCAAGTCGAGCCAAGGTTCGAGCGACTCCAGCATGGCCGCCTGTTAATGTGCTATGAAATTCTTTCAGCTGTGTTTGTTGTAAGGGGTGATTTTCAGGAATTACCACTCGACTTTCCTTCATAACTAGGCCATTTGAAATAGAGAAAACAGTAGGTAGATCTTGACATTGCTGGAAGAAGACCTTACCCTATTCATCATTGAGGTAGTATTGCTGCAATTCCTCAACAAAAGTTAAGACAGGACCTGAAATTGCTTGAAGCTCAGCTTCTGCAGGCCATGATCTGGACAGCTCATCGGCCACTTTGTTATGACATCCTGGTTTGTATACTATGGTGTATTGAAATCCCAAGAGTTTAACGAGTCCACTTTTGTTGCTCGGGAGTTTGAATTGTTTGGCTCATGAGTCCTCGAAGGCTTTGTTGGTCGGTGTAAATCACAAAAGGTCGCCCACGTAAATATTGCCTCAACTTCTTGACGGCTTCAGTAATGGCGTACATCTCTCGAACATAGGCTGATGAATTTTGGAGATTGGAGTTGAGCTTCTTGCTGAAATAAGCCAAAGGGTGGTTGCCTTGAGAGAGTACAGCACCAACGGCCACATTTGAGGCATTAGTGGTAACATCAAATGCTTGAGAAAAATCTGGTAGAGCTAAAATCGGGGTCGTTGTGAGAGCCTGCTTAAGTTTTTCAAATGCCTCTGAAGCCTCAGTTGTCCACTGATAGGATTTCTGCTTCAACAAGTCAGTAAGAGGGGCAACAATCGTCGCATAATGCTTGACAAACTTGCGGTAATACCCAGTCAGCCCAAGGAAGCCTCGAAGTGCCTTGATATTTGCGGGTAGTGGCCAGTCTATAATCGCTGTGATCTTTGAAGGATCAACTTGGACTCCTTGGCTCGAAATGATGTGCCCCAAATAGTCTATCGAAGACTGAGCAAATGAGCACTTGGCTCGCTTGGCAAAGAATTGATGAGTCAACAACAGTTCCATAACGAGTTGCAAATGCTGATAATGTTCTTCCTTGGAGCAACTATATATCAAGATATCATCGAAAAACACCAACACAAATTTTCGAAGATGTGGCCTAAACAGATCATTCATAGCGGCTTGAAAGGTTGAAGGGGCATTGGTCAACCCGAAGGGCATTACCTGAAACTCGTAGTGGCCATCTGAGGTTCAGAATGTCGTTTTTGGAATGTCATCAGAAGCTACCCGAATTTGGTGATAGTCGGCCCTGAGATCAAATTTGGAGAAGATTGAAGCTCCATGTAACTTATCGAGTAATTCATCAATGGTAGGGATAGGAAAACGATCTCTGATGGTGATCGCATTGAGGGCTCTGTAATCGGCACGGAACCTCCAAGTCACATCCTTCTTTTTGACTAGGAGGACTGGAGATGAAAATGGACTGGTACTTGGTCGGATGATTCCCTCTTGCAGCATTTCCGAGATGAGAACTTCCATATCCCGTTTTTGATTGTGCGGATAACGATATGGTTTAACATTGACAGGTTTGGAGCCGGGAATCAAATGGATGTGGTGGTCATGACTCCTAGGAGGGGGTAATCCTTTTGGTGGATAAAACACAGCAGCATATCGAGTGAACAGTAGACTCAACTCAGAATCGAAGGAATTGGTGTCTGTTTGCTGCTCTGTTAGGGTTTCTGTCGAAGTGGGAAGAAGAGTGAGCAAATGGGTTGCAGATAAGGAATTGGTTTGGGCCCATCACTGTAACTGTTGAGGCGTGACTGGTGTGGCATTCAATGGGCGTTGGCCTGATAGTGTGACCCAAGTGCCTTTATAATTAAAAGACATCAAGAGTAGGCTGAAATCCGCCAAGATTGGGCCCAACTGGGCTAGCCATTGGATTCCAAAAACTAAGTCTGCCCCATGGATGTCTAACAAGTAAAGATCCAGATCCATAGCAAGACCTTCCAACTTCATTGGTAACTCAGTAATCATACCGTCACACTGTAAAAACTTGTCGTTGCCCACTCGAACTGAAAAGGTCGGTGCTGGTTCAATCGGAAGCCCCAAATATTTGATAATCCGAGGTTGCACGAGATTATGCGTGCTTCCGGAGTCGATTAAGACTGAAACGGGATGCCCCTTAATGTGACCAGTGAGTTGCATACATGTTTGAGAAGTAATCCCATACAGAGCATGGAGGGAGACCCGAAACTCATCCTCTTGCGAATCTGTGGTTAAAGGATCAGGTGGCAGAGGAAGAGCTGACAGGGCCGTCATCGTTGCCTCTTCATAGTCGATTGTCTCCGGTGTTTCATCATCCATCTGTAACAGTAAGAAAGGAGTAGTTTTGCAACGATGCCCGGGTTGAAAATTTTCATCGTAGTTGAAACATAGCCCTTTTGCTCGCCTGGCTTGCATCTTCGATGGAGAGAATCGGCGGATAGGGAACACAGCGGTTGAGGAAGATGGCCCCTTTGATGTGTTGGAAGAGCTGGGCAGGGCCGGGGTGCGAAACTGCGGTGATGGAACTGATGAAGCCAACGGCGGCGTGCGGTAGCCTCGGCGACTGTCATTAAGCTTAACTTCTTGTAACTTGGCCAACGCAAACGCCTGAGTAAGCGATAGGGGATTCAAAATGACAACCTCTTGTTGAATATCGTAGCGCAGCCCCGAGATGAACAAGTTGAGAAGATGTTCATCTGTCAACGCCGAGACTCGATTGGAGAGGAGTTCAAACTCCTGTTGGTACTGGGCCACCATCCCTGTTTGCTTTAACTTGAAGAGCGCCGTTTGAGGATTCACAAATTGCGAAGGCCCAAAACGTATTTCAATGGCGCGTGTAAAGTTTTCCCAATCAGAGAGGAGGCGATGACGATGCATCTATTGAATCCAAGTTAAAGCCTCACCAGTCATAAAGAAAGCAGCGATGGAGAGGCGTTGTGCTGGAGCAATGGAGTAAAATGAGAAATATTGTTCTGCCTGAAACAACCAAGCGTGGACGTTGGTACCATCAAAATGGGTAAAAAAAAATTTGGGAGTTTTTGGTTGAAAGAGTGAGTTGGCAGGGGCTGGAAAGTTGGTGGTTCCTTTGGGAGCGACGATACCTTTGAAGGCATCAGCAGGGGATAGTGGAGTGGAAGAGGAGGCTGGGTCAAGCTTGCGGTGGAGGTCAGAGAGGGTGGATTCAATCTTAGTTTCTAATGAGTTTTTGAGTTCAAGGTGGGAAGAGCGTAGCTTAAGAAGTTGAGCGTTAAAAGACTCAGCAAGGGCATGGATCGCCTCCATGATAGAGGGATCAGCGGCCTTATCTGCCTTGGGAGGCATGGTGAATCGAAACGAAAGCACCAATGTTAGGCAGCTGCTAAGAAAAGCAGAAAAAGGGAAGAGAAATAGAATTGAGAGGAAACTAATTTCTTCTGTCCTTTTCTTCACAATATCGCTCAGTACATATACTATCCTTTTGGCATCAACCTAGGATCTTGAGACAATGCTGGTGGACCCCAAAAACCTTAACAGACTCGACAATAGTAAATCATAACAGACTCAACAATATTATCCAACTAGCAACAAATAACTATAAAGGAAAATAACAACATAAAATTATTTCATATGAGATAATCCTTCATCCATTTGGGCTTCTTCAACTGTCTTTGCTCGTGGGCTTGGAGCTCCTTCATCAGCAGGTGGATTTGTATCACAACCAATGTTGTTGTCCAAACCAACCCAACCAAACTATATTACTACCCACACCATAGACTTCCAATTCATGATCCCAAATTTGCCTAGAACTCACTCCTTTGTAAAGCTAAGCCCCAATTCCAAATCCTCAATCTAAAAAAGAAAAGAAGAAAAAAAAACTCTTCCTCTTTGTTTTAAAAATATAAAATAAAATAAGAACCCTTTTGAAAGTCCTTAGAAAATTAAAATCAAGGAAAGGGGGAATGAAAGGAAACGCTTTACCATTTTTATAATATTTTGAGGGAAAAGAGAACGAAAATTCCATTTTTTTTGCTCATTGTTTTGTTTTTTTTAAGACAAATGAATTCTACCAAACAATTGTTCTTAAGAGCAGAACGAACCCTAATTTTCTATTTCATGGCTGGTTTACCCCCTTTTCTGATTCACAAAATGAATGAGTATTTCTGTCATCACAAAAAAGTACCCAATATACTCAAAATTGATTATTTTAACCATTACACCAAATACTGACAACTTTACACCATACCACCATCCATTAATTATTTTGAAGTACAATACACCTAACTGGAATTTTTCCTAAAGACTTAAACAAATTAAAACCCTAACGCCTCAATTCCCAACTCCAACCAACCTTATACAATCCCACGAGAAAAAGCTTAGGCCTAGCGCCGCAGCCATGAAAAACACAAACACAAACTCCTCTCAACTTCGTCTACCTGATGAACTTGTCGATGGTATCCTTCTATGCCTACCTGCTAAGTCTCTTCAGCGATTCAAGCTCATATCCAAGCCATGGAATTCTCTAATATTAGACCCTAACTTTGCTGAATCTCACCTCAATCGGTCTCTTCGACCAAACACCGACAATTCTAAGCTGTTGCGGGTTGGTAAGCTACATGTCAAGTCGCTGAACCATACTCCATCTAATAATAATCTGCGTCCTTTGTCGCTCTATTCCATGGACTCTGATGGATCCAATCGTGAACTTGTACTCCCAGATTTTGATTATAACGATAAGGATTTCACCTACGACTGCGACGCTCGTATTTTGGGTTCTTGTAATGGCTTACTGCTCCTATTATATAAAACTTATAGTTATCCTAATTGTAACCTACTTTTATGGAACCCATCAACCGGTAAGTGCAAGAGGATTCCTGGTGTTAATATTCCGGATTGGACAGAATCTACCGTTATTTCCGGACTTGTTTATGTTCCTAGTTCTAGAAACTACAAAGCAATAGTAGTTTATCATCAAGTAAGTGGATATGGTAATTACGAAGCCTTAGATTGCTATATCTATGACTACAATCAAAATTCTTGGACAGAGAAGGAGGATTATGATGCGTTCCCTTGTCGGTTACACAGTGATAGTTCAGCCATTATGGTTAATGGAGTGCCGCATTGGGGTGTCTATGTCTATCGTCGTCGTGTAGACTGCAGCAAGCGTCTTGTGACGAGTTATTTGATAGTTTACTTTGATTCCGAAACTGAAGAATTTAAGGAGGTAGGATTACCGGAATGGGCAGCCGATGAAGTAACATTCAATATAGGGAGTTTAGGAGGATGTTTATGCATTTGCCTCGATTCCCAAAAAGGGTAAGGAATTTTGAAGTATGGACAATGAAGGAGTATGGAAGTGCAGAATCTTGGACTAAATCATTTGTTATTTCATTTCCCTCTTTTCAAAGGTTGACGCCTTTATGTTTGATGGGGAAGAACCAAGTTCTAATGAAGGTGGAAATGGAGAAATCGGAAGAACAATTGGTAATTTTCAACCTTAAAGAAAAGACAAAGAATTTTGTTAGTAGATAAGATTCATAAGTGTTTGATGTGCAGGGTTTGTACATATGTGGGGAGTCTAGTTTTTCCAGACGAAGCTCCACAAGATGGAATTAGTGATAGGAGAAAAAGGAAGAGAAAAGGGCATAAGGAAAAAAAAATAGAGGTAGCAAGTTGAAAGCTAGCAAAGCAAAACAATGCAGAATGCAGCTTTGAGAAATTCCACCGTTTTAATTTGATCCTAGCTGCTCATTTTAATTTCACTCGTTTCTCTTTTCTTTTACTCTTAATTTATGTTTTCTCTTTTTCTTCACCAAATTTAATGGGGATTACTAAATATCGCTCCCTTTTACTAGGTACCGCTCCCCTTTGGACTATTTTGCCCTTTCTTTCAAACTTCAAAATTTTTCATTCTCTCAAATTCTCTCAACCTTCAAACTTTCAAATCTCAATCATTCAAACAAAATAACATCAAAATTCATGAAGTTGCGACATCCGAGATGGGTAAAAGAATTTTCGGATTGAAAGTATATTTTTTTTGAAAAAAAAACGTAAAAAAACAATATCTATTTATCATTAATCAAATATTAAAGTCTTCTTGCTAATATTGACCATCCATTTAAACTAAAATGAATTGTTCAATACTTATTAAAGGCAAAAGGAAATTAAAGGAAAATCTAAAAACAAAATTTAAACAAGAACAACAGAAAAAAAAAAGATAATGAACAGAGAGTCGGGTCGCGCAACCCGGGGCCGGCCTAGGCATGGGTCGCGCCCAGATCGTGACCCACCATTGGGCGGGTCCGGGCCCGGATCGTGACCCACCATTGGGCGGGTCTGGGCGCGACCCAACATTGGGCAGGTCGCGATCGGGTCGTGACCCGACTCTCTGTTCATCATTTTTTTTTTCTTCTTTAACGTTTTTTTTTAAGATTTTCCTTTAATTTCCTTTTGTCCTTTAATAAGTATTGGACAATTCATTTAGTTTAAATGGGTATGGATATGTCAATATTAACATGAGGACTTTAATATTTGATTAATGATAAATAGATATTTGTTTTGTTACTTTTTTTCCCAAAAAAAACATACTTTCAATCCGAAAAATCTTTGTTCATGCGTTTTGATGTTGTTTTACTTGAATGATTTTGAATGATTGAGTTTTGAAAGTTTGAAGGTTGAGAGAATTTGAGAGAATTGAAAAGTTTGAAGTTTGATGGAAAATAAAGCAAATGGCAAGATAGTCCAAAGGGGGACGGTGATTAGTAAAAGGGGACGGTATTTAGTAATTCACGATTTAATTTGCTTCAATATTATAATTTATTTATTTTGGCTGGATAATGTTACTCTTCATCAACTTATGCCTTTCAAAAATTATACTCCCTAGTCAGTCCCTATTATTTTATTAATTACTATTGCTTTATATTGTTGGGCTCAATTTAAATTGCGCTTATCTGGGTCATAAAATGGCCTGATTCAATTTTTTTTAAAAAGGGAAAAGGTAATGGGTCAAGGATTGGGCTAATTAGTGAACACAAGGCCATTCAATCAATCGAAAATTTAAAGTTCTGGCGAAAAGGAAACTGATTTTTTTTGGCATAAAAAAGGAAACTGAATTTAGCACAGTGGAAGTGGAGTAAGTTCATGGCACTCCATTTCGTGTAAAGTGGGTAAGAAATGGAATCATGGAGATGGTAACAAGCCTATAAGAGGAAGGAAAACGATGAAGAAAGGATGGCTCAAAAGTCAAAACACATGATAATTGAAATAAACTTATCTTTTGATTATGACTTAGTTTCATAGATGTCATATATAGTGTAATACCCTTGTTCTAAATCCATCTCCACATTCTGCATAGGAGGGACACAAGTGAAAACTCTTTTGATTATTTGTGAACGGCCTTGGCCTCGATGCCTAACCAGGTTAGGAAGTCACCAGCATAGATTATTATTATAATGTAAAATAAAATTAGAGTTATTATTTGGTACACCATTGATGTGATTTTTGGATTCCATAAGTGGGTTCAAATATTGACATATATTCATTTTCTAATTAATTATTATTTTAATAGTTAAATCTATTCCTTATGGCGACACATATCAACCCTTAATCCCCACACGTGTAGTATGCTAAGTGCTACTTACAATGGACCTAATAATAACTCATAATTTTTATTATTTTTTTTGTAAAAAATTTGCATGTATTTTAATTTGTTGGAACTTTTTTTTATATATATATATATATATATATATATATATATATATTTCTTTGCAAAGGTACAAAGAGCAACCATCTGGACAAGCAAAACCATTCCGCAGACAAGCTACAAAGGAACAAAGATAAACACAGCAGGGCCACAAACAAAAATCACTATTGTCTCAAAAGTATCATGCCTTAGTAGGATCCGAAGCAACCACAGCCCACGAAATACCCCCTGCTTCCACTGATTAGCCTTCTTCAAAAGATCAACAAATGTTACAAAGTTGATACTTATTTGAAAAAATCTTAAAATGTTTAGTTTTTATTTAAGCATTTAGCCTTGACAACAAAGCTTATTTGGCCTTTTTTAAGAGTTCAGGGGCTTAAGGTCATTTTTGTTGTAGTGATCCTTACTCCAAATACAATATAGCCTTAGGGTGTTGGATATATGCATCAAAAGAATGAATTTTTATGCTTTCATATATATTGCATTTCGTGAGATCAAATTACAAGGAAAACTAAATGGAATACTTACCTTAGCGATTATTATAAAAAGCAACGACTATTATTAAAAATAATCTAACATGAGAGAGAAGAGAGGGAGAAGCAGAGTTCACCACCATAGGGGCGATTATCATCGGACATTTCAT